CCCCATAGGGAGCTCCACCGAAGGCCCCAGTTGGGGTGTTCGCATGCGGTTCCCCCACCCAGGGCAGCGATTCGTGGCCCCATAGGGAGCTCCACCGAAGGCCCCAGTGGGGGTGTTCGCATGCGGTTCCCCCACCCAGGGCAGCGTTTCGTAGCCCCATAGGGAGCTCCACCGAAGGCCCCAGTGGGGGTGTTCGCATGCGGTTCCCCACCCCAGGGCAGCGTTTCGTGGCCCCATAGGGAGCTCCACCGAAGGCCCCAGTGGGGGTGTTCGCATGCGGTTCCCCCACCCAGGGCAGCGCTTCGTGGCCCCACAGGGAGCTCCACCGAAGGCCCCAGTGGGGGTGCCCGCATGCGGTTCCCCCACCCAGGGCAGCGCTTCGTGGCCCCACAGGGAGCTCCACCGAAGGCCCCAGTGGGGGTGCCCGCATGCGGTTCCCCTACCTAGAGGTAGCGCCACCGAAAACGATATTTAGATTTGCGGTGTTCACAACTGCATATGGTTGGGTCCGAACGGCACGCGCGCGGGCTAGTGAGGACCTCATCGAAGCATGACATTGGTAATGCTGCTAAGACAAGAAGGCACTCCGAGTTCTCAGCGGCAGTCGATTCTTACAAGTGTGGGGGGTGCGTGGGGTGGGCAGAACCCACCAGGTAGACCCGACCGCGGTTCCAGACTCTGGATCTGCGGTCGGTATTTGCAGGTGAGGGTTTGCTTAGTCCTCCGGCGATGTGTCGCCGATTTTGGGTCGACGGCTCCCCACCTTGGTCCCCTTTCCAACGTTCTCCCTCAGAGCCGGAGGGAAGGAGTGGATGAGGACGGCAGAGAGAATTGGTCCTAGATTTCGCCCTCCAGGAGCATGTCGACGATGTGGTGAACAAGCTGCTGTATGACTCGCATTATATGGGCCACGCGGTCACCCATCTCAATCCGACTTGGACGTCGTCTCTGTTGACCTGGACAGCAGCCGCGGCGGAGAAGCAATCGGATAACAGTGCCGTAACATTAGCCCCAGACGCTCGGACGCGGCGAAGAGTGCTATTCTTCCCTTGCGGTTGCGGCGGCTACGGAGTCGCGACGGGTCGTGTGTGGCTGCTTGGTGTGACTCGCGTAAGGTCGAGAGACGCGGCTCCGTCGATCTCGGGCCGCTGCAACTTGTATCAGGTGTTTGGCCCCGGAGAGAAATTGTGTATGGCCCTCGGAGTCACATCGTGTTCCGAGAGCCCCACTGCAGCTCTCCACTTGCTGCATGCGACACTCGTTCGAATCACGCCCCAGCGCCAGAAGACCCTACGCATCTTTACACTGCGACGGGGGGAAGGCGCGCATAGACGGAGGCTCCTAGACTGCAGGACAAATCTTGCAGGCTTCGCACGGCGCGCACCAGTTCGATCATCGAGTCCACACGTCGGCTCCGTCAGATGTTGGTTTGCGTTTGCGCGGCGGTGCTCTGGTGTGAGTCCGACGTGAATCCCACGTGATTCCGACGTGAAGGCGCCGTGGATCCGACACAATTGCAGTCTCACGTTGCCGCGCAAGGCCTTTTTGGGATTTTTCTCATAACCTAGGCTGACGCAGGACGACGGGAGATGACGGGAGACAATGGCGTTGCCCCGATTCCAGGTCTTGGTCGTTCCGTAGTCGTCTCGGGAACAGTATGTAGGACACTCAAACGCGAGGTGTCCAGGCAATCAATCTCTTAAACAGTGGCCGCGTGGTGCCCCCATGCATGTGCCGTCTGCGCGCATGTGGTTGGTTGACGTACTTGCTTGATAGCGCCCCCTTCCTGCAACTCTTGGGCGGCGCGGAAGCGCAGGGCCGCCCCCCGCCCAGGACGCGCCTCGGTTTGACTCGACATTGGCTGGGGCAGCACTGAGAGGGGAACTCCACCTCCTCCTCCTTCTCCTCTTCCTCCTCCTCCTTCTCCTCTTCCTTCTCCTCCTCCTCCTCCTTCCCCTCCTCCCTCTCCTTCCCCTCCTCCCTCTCCTCCCCCTCCTCCCCATCCTCCCCTTCCTCCCCATCCTCCTCCTCCTCCTCCTCCTCCTCCTCCTCCTCCTCCTCTCCCTCCTCCTCATCCTCGTCCTCCTCCTCCTCCTATGGATCCTATGGGTCCATGGCGCACCAGATCCTGCTGAGCAACACCTGGAGCAAACATGGGGGTTATATATGTATGTTCGCACTGCACTTACCAGGGGTCATCCTCTCCGAAACTGCACCGACCTGTCAAACTCCACCCCCGACGATGGGTCGATCCCACTCTTTAGGAGGGACAGGGTGTTGCAGGCAGACTTATTCCTGGGGCCGTTGTTACATGGCTTTGCAAGGAGAGCCACCTTGGTAGTGCCGAGCGCCTCACAGACACTGCACCACACTCGACCACCAGCACCACTCCAAAGTCTATGGGAGGGTGCGATAATCCAACAGCTCTGGGGTGTCCAGTACACGGGAACGAGGTCAATGCACCTCGGGACCAGTCACGAATTCCACATCTGATGCAAGCGACGCTCTTCCCCACTCGCACAAGGTCATGGCCATTCGCATCAGACACCAGCTCGAGGGTGGCTGGGGCCTGGAGCCTCTGGGCTCTGAGCTTATCAGCATCTCCGAAATTCAGCCTGGAGAGCGCTCCCCCGACTCCCGCAACCAGGACAGATCGGCCGCGGATCTGGAGGTCAAGGGCACGCACTCGTCTGCCAGCCCGGGGGGCGTCTGGTGCAGCCTGGCTCCGGGCTTGGCCAATCTGTCAGCCCCTCGGTTGCCCCATCCAAGCCCACCGAGCACATCCTTGGGCGGCAGCCTTGGCCCAAGACTGGTGGCTCCGAATTTTCTCTACTGTGATGGGCACCGTTATATCTTCGCACTGCTTGAAAAGATCACGCCACACTTCTGCATACGCAACAGAATCCAGGGGCCGATGGGGGCCAGCCCCCCAGATACCTACAACCATCTTACGATCACACACCGCATGAACGGGCTCCACGCCTACATTCTTGACGAGCATGAGCAGAGCATACACTTCGGCACACCCCGACTGCTGGACATGGTGGGGCAGTGGCCCGTACAAGGCCCCGTCCACGCCCCCGTGACGGTCGACTTGGACCACCCCCCGGCCAGCCCGCTCCAACGCGAGATCTCCAGGGGAGAAAGCCGACCCATCGATCGCGACATTTCCACTGAAGACCTTATGAGGGGGGAGCACGCTCCACACTTGGGAAACATCCATACGGGGGGAGGGGTTCCGATATCGTAGGGCGAAGCCTTTTGCGAAATCGGCGATCGCCTCTGGCTCGCCCAGCTCTCGGCGCGTCCACCAAGTCGCAGGGCATCCGATGATCCTATGCTGCGGCGTGCCGAGGTCGCCGCAGAACTTGCACTTGGGGCAAGCCGTGCGCCGATCCATGTACCAATTATTACAAGCATATCAATTTTATGTTGATATTTATTGACTTAATTAGATATATTCTGATATAGTTCATTCAATATTGATATTTATTGATTTATTTAGATATATTTTGATATATTTGATTCAATATTGATGTTTATTGACTTATTTAGATATATTTTGATATACTTTTGGTCGGGTGCCCTCCTGAGACACTGCCTGCGGGAAAAGCAGCCTCTGCAGCGCGGCCACGTCCTCTGAGCTGCCTCAAGACGTCAATGATAGGTTCCAGCCTAGGGGGGGCCCCTCAAGAGATTGCCATGGAAGTTCGTGCCCTCGAGGCTCTTGATCCGGGCCTTCTTGGAGCCCGCGTTGACCAGGGTCTTGAGAGATTTCTTGCCAAGGTATCCGAAATCAAAGAGGGTTCCATTGGGATCCTTCCAGACCACAGGATGCTGGCCAGACCATCCGAGGCGCCCGAGGGTACACGCTACAGCTCCACCAGGCCCCCCCGAACTCGTTTCCAGTCAAGTGGGTCCCCTTCAGGCCCTGCTCTAAAGATGCCTCATGAGGCTCCTAGGTATCGGGGGAGCGTAAGACCCGGGTTTGCCGGGACTCGGGTTCGCCATCGTTTTTTGACGTCCGCGACTCGGATTTTGACGAGGAGGAGTTTCTTGGGATGTCTGCAGCGGGAGGCCTCGTCAAAATGCAGGCTCGGCCTCGTCATTGTTTTGACGACCTCGTCGGGGATTTCCGAGTCCCCCGTACCCGGGTCTTACGTCTCCCCGAAGGTAACCAGTTCTCGCGCCACGCCTGTACCCAGGACTGGAGGGGGAGGAGGTTCGCCTGGCAGGTCGAGGGTCGAGGGCAGGGTCGGCGCACGTCGGGAATCTCCGAGGGTTCGGGAGGTCGCCCTCGCGAGACTCCCAAAGGGCACCGCGGGCGAGGGCAGCACGGATCTGGGCCTGATGGGCGTGTTTTCCACCACCACCACCACCATAAGTTGGAGTTGGGAAGGAGGAGGAGGCGGACGAGGAGGAGGAGGACGAAGAGGAGGAGGAGGAGGAGGAGGAGGAGGAAGAGGAGGGCACCCTCCCCCTCCAACTTATGGTGGTGGTGGTGGAAAACAGGCCCATCAGGGCCAGTCTCTTGCTGGATGCCTCGTGCACTCTCGCTCCATACATCCCCGCAGGAAGACCCTCCAGTCTTCAGGATCCGTGTTGCGCCAGCCGCCGCAGAACGAAGTGCCCGGAGGCGATGAGCACGAGGCTAAGGCTTCGAAGTCCTCCCGAGATGCACCTTAGTTCCAAGACGGCCACGGACCCGAAAATCAACACCGAGGCTTTTGGTAGATTCACAATGTCTAAGCTTCCAGCGACGCAACTTCGAAGCGATATCTTTCGACACCCAACCCTGAGTAGCAACCGCCACCCCTGTGGTTCTGGACACGATGAGGCACATACGCTCAAGCTGCTGGCACAGGAAGAAACTGGCAAGACCGAGCCCCGTGGCAACAGCTCTGGCCTGCCCAACCATACATCAGGTTATGTTGTCAACTACGTTGGAGATGCGCACGAATCTGGAAGCACCAGCCGTCATGTCAAGAGTGTCGAGGATCAAAACCTTGAGAAGGGTGGTAGCGAAAGTGCACCCAGCGAGAATCGCCTGGATAGCGAAGACCCTTTGAGAGCACATCTTACCCAAGGTAACGTGACGACGACCCCGATAGACTGTGAGGAGAAATCTAAGAATGACGACGTTGAAATTGTGTTGGATGGCCGCCCGCACGAGGAGGACGCGGGCGACTTTCTCGTGCGCTTTGGTAAGGTCGAGGAGGGAGGAGGAGAAGGCGATGCCCGTGTTCTGAGCAAACTCTCCTAAGGCTGACTGCTCCCATACGGCTCGCTCGCAGGAGCGTCCAGCACTCCCGTAGAAGTAGTCCCTGGGATGGGCCCGGTCCCAAGAGGTGGCCTCCTTCCTGAGCATCCTGGAAAGAACCCGCACGAAGGCAGAAAGAAGCCAGATAGGCCTATGCCCCCCGTCAGGTTTTTCGATCATGGCCACCAGGATGGTTTTCATCTGGCTGGGGACGTGACCGAACTTCAGAATGGCCTTCCAGAGGCCTGCGAGCGCCTGCAGGCAGTCATCACTCACGAGCAAAAGATCTCGAGGATGGACGTTGTCGCTCCCCAGCGCCGTCCGAACCTTAAACTTATTGCAGCACGCTCTGGTGGCGCGCGGGTCGAACTCCCCTTCGACCAGCTGGTGGTACTCATCATCACTGAGCGAGTCGATGTAGTCATTCAAACAACTGATTGGGTCCTCATCTGGCACTTCCCCTCTTGGAGTGTTCCATATCCCTTCCATTCGGAAGGCAGGTCGTTCAAAACTGGCTGCGGTCCTGGAGGAGCCTGGTCGGGTGAAGAAGACTTAGCGGGGATCCACCCTGTTGGGGCCCTGGTGTAGCGGTGACCTAACCCTCCCCCGTTTTTGACAGTTTCCTTGACCCAGCTCCTCCAGGCAGACTGGCGCGCAGCAACCTGCACGCGCTCGAGCTGGTCCGCCCGCTTGCCAGCG